GATAGTAATTGAGTCTTTCTAAACTTTATTATGCATGATTGTTATAGCTTTGTATTTATTTCTGATCTATCCATTTGGTCTGGCCAACTAGATTGATTTATCTTTAGTGGGAGAGGTGCTTTGTAATGGATTCAATCTTGCGGGGTCCTCACCCAGTGACAGAAAGGGTATTGAGACACACATTTGTATTGTTGTTATTAAGGGTAAAACGATGGGGTTTAATAGCTTTCTTTTATTATGTCCACATCATGTTATCATACTTCATACATTACTCTGTTTGTTATGAACTTAATAAGTAGAGAAGCAATTATAGAAGCGCTCTCGAAGTGGCACAATAGTAGTAGATGTAGAATCTTTTCGGTCTCCTTGTCACGGGATGTGATGCCTATATACATGATCATTGCCATGGATAACGTCATAAGTATGCGCTTTTCTATCAATTGTCGAACAATAATTTGTCTACCCACCATATGTTATTTATTCAATAGAGAAGCCTCTAGTGAAAACTATGCCCCCCCCCCGGGTCTATCTTTATCATATTGCTAAAACCAGAAATATCTTGCTACAATTTATTTACATTTTTTGCAATTTATCTATCTAGCACTACCCAATTTGATCCTTGCAAGTAACGAGTTCAAGGGGATTGACAACCCTCTTGCCCATGTTGGGTGCACGTATTTGATCTTGTCTGTGCAGGTACTGTTCACAAGGATTTGTTAGGTTCTCCTATTGGTTCAATAACATTGGTTCTCACTGAGGGAAATACATGCCAATTAAAATCATTAGTGCTAGCAATACTATTAAGTAAACTAGCATCCATATTTTCTCTTTTGGTTTCACGGAAACCAACAAAATCAGCATGATTATTGTTCCCAAAATAAGCAAGGCATTGTAATTTACCGGGTTAACCAAGCCCTCGAATATTCCAGAAAGCACCTATCATTTAACTCTAAATTGATGCGACAAGCCACAAGGCTGATTTTTAGTACGAATAGATGGACTATCTAAATCCAGAACAACAACGCCCCCTGTCCTAGAGGAATTACAATTAGAGGGAAAAACATCACTATCTAAATCAATATCAAGTGATCCAGGGAAAACAATCTCCGGATTCATATATGCAAATTGATGGCACTTCATTTTTTCTATTAATCAAATCTAAGATGATATCATTACGCTCTTCCCTACTATCTACAATGAAAATGCCCACCATGACAGATTGAGAAGCAAGAGCATCAGTATCAAGAGTAGCAAAAGATTTACCTTTGAAAGTGGTGGGTATATCCAAGTTTTTATTCTGCATATACACAGCAGCCTTATCCATGATCTTCACATTCCCATAATTCCTAGTTCTTGGTCTGTTCACCAAGACAGGACCCCATGATGAAGTTTTTTTCCACATTAGGCTTCTTTTTCCTGTCTGGTTCAACATTTTCCAAAGATTCCAAAAAGGATCTCTTAACAGAACCAATTGACACAACTAAATCTTCAGGTAAGCATTGATGTTCAGTCGCCATAACTTCCTCTCCCCCCTTGGATTCATCTATTTCAACTTTGATAAGATGTTCATTGCAGTATTCCAGATGTAATGGCATAGGAACAATATCCATTTCATCAAATATCACCTTGTATGAACAAGGACTGATACCTCCTTCCTCCACCTCATTACTATCTTCTTTCCTGGGGTTTTGGTTCCTGATTTCCTGCACAAAGCTATTATGAACAGAGTCCATCATGTTCATTGGGTGAAATTCAGCTGCAGAAGCAGACAGTGTCTTATTGGTTTTTCTTGAAGATGCATGAGTTTTTTGTTTGATAGGGAAGTTAGCTCTGTCCAAGTCATCAATAGCTCCCTCTTCATCCTCATCCATTTGATCTTTGCCAGAAGGACCATTTCCATTGTCCTCCTCGTTTCCTTCTTGTTTACCGATGTTAGGATGATAATCCTCTCCATTAGAATCTTAACTATGCTACTCAAACACCTCCAGGGAAAAGAAAAGCAGCTATAGTTTCTTTTTCATCTCCACTAGCCTCTCCAAAGTAATTTTCTCAGGGTCTCTGCAAGCAACCTTAATCTTGATAATTTCATAGAAAATTTGAAAGATACCATTCCAGTCCACATCCAGAAGGATTCCAAAGCACACTGCCACTTGAGTAAAAACCTTCTATGCACACCACTTAGACGGTATCCCTTCAATCTGCGCCCAAGCTTCCATTAGATCTCTAAACTCATCCAACTTCCCTTTCCACTCACAAATCTTGACAGAGACCCCATCAATTGGCAGGCCAAAAGATGGGAATTCGATCAGATCCACAACATTTTTCCATGGGGGAAATCTTAAGGAAAACAAATTTATCCTCCAATTCCTTGATTTGCCACGGCCACTCTTTGTTTTTGCAGAATATACCTTTCAACTAAACCAACAACTCTGAAGCAGAAACTTCACCTTTGAACAGTCACAACACCGCACAATTTTTGTAATTCAGCCAACAAGATTCAGCCACAATGGGAATGTCCACATGGTAGAAACCAAGCCCCAAAGTAGCACTACCGAAATAATTAGTTGTAGGTTGCGGCTGAGCCCAAGCCACGCAATAGTTTACATTATGATTATCAACACAGATGAAGCATTTTTGGGCTCATGTAATTTCCCACGTAGTGTCCCGGCCAACTGCAATTGAAGCATGTCATGTCCTTATATTTCGGGTCAAGGGGTCGTACCAAAGGGGTTGTGGTTGGAGTTGAGGTTGGGGCCATCGGAGCAGAGGAGGCCCCTGTGCCGTAGAAGCTTGCTTCACGACCCCTGCCGGCTTCCAAGCCCCCCTATGGAGCAGGCTTGACGGGGACAACAGACGCCGACGACGAGGCCTTGCCGTCCTATGTGGGGATGGTCTTCTTCCTTGGCTGCGGACACCGATGATGCTGAGCGTGCTTTCCATGGTTCTCCATACCTATCTGAACAACTTCTGCAACGATGCAATCCAAGGCAAAAACCCTCCACCGATGGCTTAAATTTCATGGGTACAACGTCAAATCAACCACAATATGGCACTGGACAACAATCTTCTACGGTGAAATTACTTGATTGAAACATATCCTTCCTTGCCCAGAGGAGCTATGGGATGGCATAACTAGGGTTTGATGGCTTGGCAAGATGTATATGAGGTTGGGGGTGGCAGCGTGGGGACGGAATCACACACAACTGCCCAAAGAAATCCGCCACCACCTCATCATACCAGTCATCCTTCCTAGGACACGTATTTCTAAAAGCCATCTTCCATCAAACCACACATCCTTTGATCAACACCGCTAGCATAGGCGAAGGCCCTTTCGCTCGCAGCGATTGGTTTGAAACCGAAGAACCCGCCGTCGCACAAGAGAAATCGCCGGTGACCATAGACCTCGCCGGAATTGGCGAATTACATGAAGATCTAATAGAATCTGGAGTACTCGGAACAGAACCAATCAACCTTAACCAAAGGACAACCCTCAAATTCATGTCACAATTAATTGCCCCACACAAAAAACCAAATGAATCACCATTCTCAACAACACCAATCCTATGTTTCCTGATGTGGGTAAATTTTACCTTATTGTGGAGCGGTGGCACCTCCCTGAGATCTCCCGGCCACAGGAGTGGATCTAGGCCACATCTCCGTAGCCCGCCCCTCGCACAACGTGTGCGTGGACTAGGTGGCCTCCGCAACGCACGCCCACCGGGAGCGCTGATCTTCAGGGGACATGAGAGGGGCTGACCCCCGGCGGTAAAAATTCCCGAGGGATGTTGTCAATTTCCACCACCGGCGGCGGCCGGATGTTGAGCCTGGACTGGTTCCTTGTCTTGAACCTAGCCAACCTCGCCGCTTAGCCTGGATCCAACAACTCCGCCTCCTGAATCGCCCAGAACAACATGTCGTAATCCACCCTCCCCCCATCGTCACTGATGAGCCGCGCGACATCCGCAAACGACACGGACCGGATGATCCCCACGCAGATGTCGGGCCGCTTGGACGAGTCAGGGAAGCGCTCCCGCACCACCCGCTAGATCTCCGTCTGCGCCTCCGAAGTCGCCACATCAATCTCTGGCAACTGCGCCACTGGAATCAGCGGCTTTCCCACGAGGATTAGCGGTGCCACCTTCTCATGCACGGGGCATGCCCTCCTTGCCCTCGACTTGTGACTCGAACTCCCCACCATCTCGCTCGCCGATTTTGGCCGTGAGAGGAGCTCGTGGGCTGTGGATGTGGGGAGCGATGAGGAGGAGGGGTAGGGGTGGGGAGTAGATAACCCTAAGGTGCCATTAATGCTTGCTAGAAGGCCATTAATGGTGGTAGGTGCAATCGCCTCGCCCGGCTGGTTCGCTCATCGCCTCCGCTGCCATGCTATCATAATTTTGTTTGGGAGAAGCAATTGAGGTGGGTAATTTTCTGGTGGTATCTGCTGATCAGGAGCCAAAAATGAAAAAACTTTGTATTCTTATTATGCAGCATATGGCCCTGAAAATTTTCTAGCAAAAAAAAAGCATATATGACCCGAATTTTTTTTCTCAGCTGGATGCCGTGCTGCCAATGATAGCGTACCAAATCCTGAAACCATTGTCCACATCCATGTGAATTAAACATTCAATAAATCCGTACCTATCCTTGGAAAACTAAAATAGGAGAAACAATAAGTTGAAGCCCGACGTGAAGACATCGAGTTCAAAACTGGAGACATCGTATCTGATCTGTGCGAGTATGGAAAGTATGAAAGAGTGACAGAAGGGATATGGACGCCGCAATTACTACATACGAATTAAGGCCGTGATCTCGACCACATTAAACTCCAGCCTGTGATCTCGCGCAATCTTGAGAATTGGCAAGTGAACTTGCATGCCAATCACATCATCTCCGCGTTTGACCCCTCCCTGCGCTCCGATCCCTTGTATAAGTTGACAATCCCAGATCCCATCCAAGAACTCAACTCGCGTGCCAAGAAACACCAAACAGCACAACCATTAATGGGGCCCAGCTCCCGAACCGCGTCCATGGAGGGGGTGAAAGGTGAGGGTGAGGGTGAGGGTGAGGAGGCGGAGGAGGTGCAGCCGGCCAATGAGGGGCTGTCGGCGCCGTCGCTGGAGCTGAACCTCGTCGGCGCTCTCGCTCTCGTGGAGAACGCCGCCGCGGAGGAGAAGGGAAAGGCCGAGTCGGTCGTGGCGGCGGGGCCGTCAGTCGAGCCGAAGGCGGCGGTGGTGGTCGCCGGCGGCGAGAACCGTCGCACGTTCAAGTGCAACTACTGCCAGCGTAAGTTCTACACGTCGCAGGCGCTGGGCGGCCACCAGAACGCGCACAAGCGCGAGCGCTCCATCGCCAAGCGCGCCGCCGCCGGGCGGGGCGGCGACCCTGCTGCCGGCCTCTACGGCGCGGCGAACCACCACCTCCGCTACGCCACCGCCTGGCCCTATTCCGCCGCCGGCAGGTCATTCCTCGCCCAGGGCTCGCCCACGCCGCCGTTCTATGGGATGCAGATGCACCACCCCGGGTGGGGCGCGGCGCCCCAGCCGTACCTGGCCGGGCTCGCGCGTCTCGCCGGCGCCCACCGCCCGATGTATCGGCCGGAGGCTTACGGCTATAGCGCGTCTTCCAGGGCTCCCATATCGGCCTTCCCTGAGACCGCGCCGGGGGTGACCGGGATCTCGCGGGCTGGTGCAAGTGGGAGCGGAAGTGATAACGGCGGCGACCATAGCATTAATGAGTTGAAGAAAAAGGAGGAGACCGCCAGCAACATAGACTTGACTCTCAAGCTCTAGCTAGCTCCGATCTGTAGGGTCCAATCATTTCTCCGTCAGAGCCTTAAGCTCGATCTCGTTGACAAGTGTCAAAGCTATCCGTCATTTAGTTGGTTGTTGTAGAAGAAGCTCATTTCCGTTCTTTCTTAATCAGTTTTGTTAGAACTCATCTAGATGAGATTTAATTTGGTCTCATTCACCTTTTATAGCCATTGGATGTGGTGCTATAAGATGCGTGTGTGCTGACGTGGGTTGTATCCGTTCTTGTTTTCCAGGTGAATGAGACCAAATTACGTCTCATCTAGATGAGTTCTAGGTACTCCCTTTCTTAATTGTGTCAGTCAGTGCATGGTAAGCTAGCTGAGATTAGGTTTCTAGCTAGTCTTCGTTGATCGATGTGATGTAGTGCAAGACTTCATCCTTCCATATCCATATGTATGAAAAAATGGTCATATGTCGACCACTAGTTTATGTTATTTGTTCCTTTCATGGAGCTAATTTATTTTGCATGAAATTGTTTCCTGCCTGTTCCAAGCAACGTCGAGTTTGACTTCTCTTTGCTTTTCCCGTGACCGTTTAGTTCAGTTTAGTGGGGAGGATATCTCACCTACCGCATGTAAAATCAGGCTGTAGGGGATAAATTAGGAGGGATATCTTGCTGGGTCCCGCAGTCAAATCAGAGGAAGAGTAATTAGGGATAACCAGCCTGGAGTCCATTGAGCGTTATCATTTATATTTCTTTGATTGAAGGACCACAGTTAGAAACTATTTTGTATGAAATGACAATATAGTATGCAATTTTCAAGAAAAGCAGTTCCAAGATGGTTCCTCTTACCAATTAGAAGAAATATTTACGGAAATGATAAATCCCGAATGTTCGGAATGTTCGGATTTTAAGCATGACCACCCGAACGTTTTTCATGGCAACTTTAGTTCACGCGATGTTGGCAAGCATGGCAACTTTCTGTCAAGAAAACGAATTGAGACAAAGTTGCCATGTTTTAACAACTAAAGTTGCCACCACACTCCAACTAAAGTTGCCATGCAAAAACGTTCCAGATGACAGGCTTAAAATTCGAACGTTCGGGATTTATCGGGGTCCTATTTAATCTGAACCGTCCATTCCATGCATAATGTTCTAAATATATAACCTACTTGTCAAAAAAGTATTGTTAAAATGATTTTTTAACCTTCCTTTTCAATATGTTTATAGGAAATTCATGAATTTGTTTATTTTGTTCCATTTATAACATGCAAGCATGACTTCCATATATAATAATCATGCCTTATTACCAAATAACATTTTTTTTACCAAATATATGCAGGTGGCTTCCATATATAATAGGCATTGCCTTATTAGTTAATAACATCTTTCCTTTCTCTATCACAAATGATAAAAATTGAACATCTGAGGTTTGAGCGAATGCGTCTTTGGCCATTAGATCGTCAAACGTATTGTGCAGGGGAGTGGCAGGCTGCAGTTCGTCCTCGTCATAAAAAGGAGCCATTCACTCGCTATCGTCTGGGCACGAACACACCCTCAATGTGGATAGGAAGTAGCGGCAGCTGAGGTTTTAGAGGAGGAAGCAACAACGGCAACACGAGGAGGGGGAGAAGCAGCTTGAGGGGTGTGCTCGATTTGTGTCATCGTCGCGGGGCCACTCGTCCTCCAAGAGGTAGCAAGGTTGCGCGCAAAAATTGCTTCATGCGTGGCAAGGTAAATGGCAGGTTGGGTGTGGTACATGCAGCAGGTCTTGACGTGGAGGTGTCTCTCATCTCCGGGGTTGTTCGCCCTCTTGCTCCATCATCAGGTGCGGTGGGCACTACCACAAGATCTTTCCACAGCGAACGGCATATCCACTATTGTTCTCGGCATCGCATACTCCTGGCCGTGGCTATTAGCGCCTGCAGTTACCCGGCCCGCTCGGGGTAGAGTGCGGAAAGAGGAGCAAACGCCGGTGTGTTTGTGTGGGCGAACCAGCGTCGCATCAGCCAAATACCTACGTTTTGCGGCTTTTGTCACCTATGCACGACCAGTGGTGGAAGACGAAAAAATTAAGATGGGGCAAACTCTTAAGCACAATAAAAGTAATTCTCTTCATCCGCGGAATTCACTTGATTTTGATGAGTGACTTGTGTCATAGCCTACGAAGCATCGATACGTGGACACCGACACGGTGATATGGATTCGAGTATACGGGATAAGTACAACAATTTCTAGAAACATCCATATGACAAATACACATAAATAATTAATAAAATGCAATGTAATAAAGACAAAGAATAATTGATTGTGTGACATGAGATCAAAATACTGCCCCATTTGTTGCTTCCATGCCTCTTTTCAAGTCCTCAATGATCGAATGATCATCATTCTCCTCAATCCTCATGGTATGTCCGCTCCCTAGCCTGAACAGCGAAATCAGCAGGTGAGCAGCAGCAAGCAACAACATTACATAGCATTACAGTTACAGCAATGCAAAGCAGTCAAGCGCTAAGCAGCAGCAAGCCAGCGGCCAGAGCCCAGCTCATCTAGCAAGCGTGCAGCAGCCAGCAAGCAAGTGCCCAGCAGAAAGTGCATCGGAGGAGCACGACAAGCAGGAGGCAACATCACAGGAGGATCGAAGGACAGCAAGGATTGAGCCGTGAGGAAGGCGGAGCTGGCGACCGCCGCGTCGTCAGCTTGGTCGCAGCCGTCACTCAGCTCTCTCGCAGGGGGCTAGGGATTAGGCCCAAAGAGCGGGGCTGCGTGCGTCGCTGGGCGTGCTATAGGCCCAGTTAGCATGGCTGCGTGGCCCTTTTCTCTTTTCAGCGATTTTTTCCATCTAAAAGCATCTCCAGGAGACTCGCTACGGCGCGGCGTGCAATTTTTTTTTCGAGTGCCGAAATAGCCCTTTTGCGTTTCGGACTACACAGTTGCTTCATCAGGCGCTGAAAAATTTTAGCGCGCCAGAGCGTCGCTTCAGCAGGCGCGGCAAAATAGAGCGCGCACCCAGTACAAACAATATTTTGCATTCAATATGAAACAAAGAAGATCAAATACAGAAAAAATAAATCGTCAATAAATAGTTCAAATATTATTACAACTCAAACAAATAATTAAACTTCAATTCAACAAATAGTCCATGACTAATACAACAAATAATTCAATGCCCACCACTCCTTGACTAGATCCTTCTGAAGTTCATCATGTGTTTCGGCAGGTCGAATGGCATGATAGGAGTCAACAAAGCGGGCCACTCTCTCAACCCTCCTCCGCACTCGCAGGGGGTGTCCCATCAACTCATACTGAGAGTAGTCCGAATCTTGCCCACGCTCGTTCTCGATGATCATGTTATGCATGATTACACAAGCGTTCATGATGTACCAAAAGATATTTTGATCTAAAAATCTAGCCGGTCCTCTCACAATAGCAAATTGAGCTTGCAAAATGCCAAAAGCTCTATCCACATCTTTCCCAGCCGCCGCATGAGCATTATGGAAATCAAGATTTTTCTTACCTTCCGGTTCTTTCAACAGCTTCACAAATGTTTACCACTTTGGGTAGATGTCATCTGCAAGATAGTACCCATAGTTGTAAGTATGGCCATTTGCTATAAATTGCACTAGTGGTAGTTCATCATTTGCAATCCTATTCATGAGTGGTGACCATTGAACAACATCGATGTAATTCAAAGTTCTTGGCTTTTCCAAAAAAGCCTGCCAAATCCAAGTCTCCTGATCGGCCACCGCTTCAAGGATTACAATGGAACCTTTTTCTGGCCGTGGAATTGTCCATGCCATGTCTTAGGACAGTTGTTCCAACTCTAATGCATGCAATCTATTGAGCCAAGCATACCTGAGAACCCGCGAGCTTTATTCATCTCAGCCTTGTGGCGTCTCCAGCATTGGGAGCTCTCAAATATTCTGGACCAAACACTTGCACGACTCCAACCGCAAAGCGCTTGACAAACATGGCGAAGTAATCAGCAATTAGATCCGCCGGAATATCGTATGTCAGCATACGCAAAGCGGCGGTCACCTTTTGAAAGGTGCTATGCCCGAGTTCTCTAGCGGCATTCCTCCTTTGCTGAAAAAACCATCATGGCTCGCCTGTCTATCTACAATGTGTTTGAACAATTTGATGCTCATCCTAAAACGGTGGCCAAAGTAGGACTCGGGGTATGTGGGATTCTCGACAAAATAGTTCTCATCAATCTGTTGTGGGCTTCAATATCCTTTCCCTCCACAATTTTTGACGACCAAAAACCGAACCACCGTGCTTCGGCTTTTAGGTTGATGTGCATAGCTAGGACCATTGCGAGGTCCTCCTCCTCTTGAAGATCAAATTCTTCATCGGATGAATTGTGGGACGAACTCATCTACAAATTTGAAGTCAAACTAAAATTTAACACTACAAACAACATGCTCCAAATTCATCTACAAAAATGAAGTTAGAAGCAATATATACCTTGCAAGAGTTTTGTCAAACACCTTGTGGGCACCGAGCTGCAAACCCCCGCCGAGAGTTGTTCGTCGGTGGAACGGGGCGCTCGAGGGGTGGCCGCGACGGAGGAAGCAGCAGCGGCCAACGGGGAAGAGGGGGAAGCGTCGTGCGCGTTGGGGAACGTCGAGGGTGGGGGGAGCACTGACGGATCGCCGGAGAGGATGGGGAAGTCGCCGGGCGAGTGAATATTTTAGATCAAGCGGTTGGTGGACATTCCCATGGGCGAGTCTCCGTACAACGCACGATAGCGGACACTCGAAAAAAGCAGCGCGATGCGGTTATGTTCGGCGCGCGGAGTGGTTTTTAGCATGCGTGTGATTTTTGCGCGTTTGTTAGAGCTGCCGATTCGGTCATGCGCGCGCTAAAATTCCATTTTTCAGGCGCGCGGATTATTTATCGCCTCTGTTAGAGATGATCTAACAGTCAGCGAGACAGCAAATGATCGTACAAAAAATACGATTATACTCCCTCTGTCCGGGAAAAGTTGTCCACAGCGTAGTGTAATGCCAAATTTTCAAAAACACCCTCATAACTT